GTTTGGTTGCTCCTTTTGTTTCGTTTGGTGTTCTACCGGTTTCTTGGTAGTCCCTATGGTCTCGCCTTGTTCGGCCGGTTTCTTGCCTTTGGCCTTTTCCTCGAGGTGGGCTTTGTGTTTCCTAAAATTGGAGGTAGAGTGTCTAATAATTTTGCAATGATTGCAATAGTGCGGGACGTACTCATATTCCACCTTTTGCTCGAACATTAATTTCCCCTTGGATTTGACGGGAATACTATAGACTCTTTCCTTGGAGAGGTCGAGCTCCACCAAAATCCGAGCGTAGTTGCATCGATCCCTCGTAGCAGTGAGCTTGCCGGTTGTGATGGGTCTATCGACGGAAGAGGCTATCTTGCTAAGGGCGTTGGTGCTCCAACATTCCCATGAGAGAAAAGGGAGATTGATCCAAATGGGGACGGTTTTGATGTCATCCTCGCCAAATTGGAACCAATTGGGGAGCACTTTGAGTATGAGCCCTCGGCCGTAAATAGAGTAGGGCCCCCCTTGAAGGACCTTCTCTCTATCCTCTTCATTTTTGAACTTGAAGACGATCCATCCATTCACATTGGGGATGTATTCATATTGGACTTTCCATGAGTTACATAGGTTCAACAATGCTTCCTTGCCCGGGTGCTTTGGGTAAAGTACCCGACAAGGCAAAAGCCCACGTGCTCGTAATGTCCAATAGGTCATCGTCGTCTAGGTCCGCTCCATTATCCGGTGGGATGTAGTTTAGTTTGAGTCTCGTGATTTGTATTCTTGAAATAGTAATTGTGAGCTCAATAGCGCATGAGCACTATCCAAGTGAATTCGAGCAGCTTTAATTTGAGCAACAAAATTGTAAAATTCAAGCACCGATCAGCTGATATAATTCAAACCCAAGAAAGAGGATCAAATTGGTGAGCAAATTGGGATTCTGTGCGCACTCAAGCTTCTAAAGGAATCAAGAGTTATCAACTCATAGTGTTAAATTATGGCTTAAAATGATCGGAAAAGTGAGTCTAATTTCGTGGATATGGATTCAGGAGGAGAAATCGATTGAAATACAAGGAAAGTAAGCTCAAAGGTGGCCGGTAACCAAGATTCAAGAGAGTCTTAGTGAGAGATGTTCTCGCCTTTCTTCTATTTTCTTCATTCTTCTTTCTACTTTCTTAACGTCACCCGACGTGACGACCGGCGGCGCGCGACTGCGCCGATGAACCTAGAAACCGGTGGGTACATGTGCGTTGGCATTGTCGACGAGCGAGGCAATGGCCGGCGAACAGATCGACGACGCGGAGATGTACTGGGTTCGGCTGGACGGCGGTGCCGGACGGCTGACCGAGCCTCGGCTATGTGACGAATGGCGGCGCCTAATACTTTCGGGTGAGTGCTCAGTTTTTAGATTACTTACTGTTGAAGGCTGCTAATCAGATGTTACAAAGATAGTCAGCCGTTAGCGGAGGACTGCTTCCAATCAATTTAGGTTACGTAGGCCAACTTTGCGGCCGATCACTTGGCAGGCATAGCGAATACGTACCCTGTCTTCCCCCC